TTAATAAACTATTAAAATACAGTTATTTTCTCACTAGAAATCATTCCAGGAATATTCCATTTATTACTTGGAGTGAACATATATTTATATTTACATTTCTTTACTATATGTACAGATTATGTCTGGACTTGAATATTTTGTCTTTTTCTGTTTTGAAAGGTTCGGTCTTTGTGGGCTTCAGTGGAGGAAAAACTCACGGTCTTGGAAAAAGAGAGAGAAGTTGTTAGTTCAGTCCTTAGTCTTGTTAACCAATATGCTTTAGATGGAACTAATGTTGTTATTAATATTCCAAGGCTCTTACTTGATGAAATTGAGAAACAAATGTGTCAGGTAAGAATTTGATGTTAAGGAAGCTTTTGAGAACACTTTCATGTAATTGTTTTATATATTGTTTTTCTTGCAATATTTTTCTACTACTTTCAGAATTTATTTTTATGAGTATACCTAGTAAAGCCTCCATAAAGAGGGGTACTGTTAAAAGTATATGTATTTATATATATCAACTTTTATTAATTGTCCATGCCTTGTATAGTGCTACATCATATAGTGTAGAGAGTATGAGGTTTCTTAGTAGGAAGATGATTCTGTATTAGTTCTTTATAAATTCTCAAAGAGAACAACAGTGATCTCCTGATTGCCAAATGTTCTTTTAAAAAGTCTCTATCATCTGTTTTCTCTTTTATCTTGATGCTGTTAAGCATTTCTTTTAGTCTTTTCTTCCTTTGTGACCTCAATGACTCTGCTTTCCTGTGGTCTTGCGGAGTGCTATTCTCACTTTTTTCCACTGGTTCCTGTTTCTCTGTATAATTTTTAAATGAAAGTATTTTCCATGGTTGTTTTAATGCCCTCCTTTTCTTTCCCTCATTACAAACTTATCTGTATTTTCTTACTAATTCTGTGGCTTGAACAGCCAGTTTCTCCCCTTCAACCCAAACTCCATGTAATATTTTCACTTGCTCATAGAATAAGTCCATCTGGATAGTTTATTATTTTTTTTTAGTAAGCACACTTCATAAAGCATCTACTATATGGTAGGTACTGATTATAATGTAGGAGATACAAAGATAAAATATTTTTGTGACTCTGAAGAGCTTTCACTTTATTTATTTAGAGACAGCGTTTTGCTTAGTTGCCCAGGCTGGAGTGCAGTGGCATGATCATAGATTGCTGTACCCTCGATCTTCTGGGCTCAAGTGATCCTCCTGCCTCAGTTTCCTGAGTAGCTAGGACTGCAAGTATGCACCGCCATACCTGGCTTATTTTTAAATTTTTTGTAGAGATGAGGTCTCTCTGTGTTGCTTAGTTTGGTCTCGAACTCCTGACCTCAAGTGATTCTCCTGCCTTGGCCTCCCAAAGTGCTGGGATCATAGGCATGAGCCACTGAGCCCAGCCAGTTTTCACTTTAATATGTAACATGGTAGGCACATGAAATTCAGAGTACATGAAAATCAAGATGTATAAATTCAGATTCCTATAGAGTCTAGGCAGGTAATAAATGAAGCCTCGTAATTATATGTAGCAATAGAGAGAAAGTAGGAAGTATGAGGTCTTTGGGAGAAAATTACTATAGTAATTTTTATGTGAAATCTGTGATTCAAAATATTGGCAACTAATTCAAATGATTTTAAAACACTGCAACTCTGTAGGCCAAATAAACATGTCCAAATGTGGATGTACCCTTTAGGGGTCATTGATTTGTAACTTTTTTTTTTTTTTTTTTTTGAAGAGTCTCACTCTTTTGCCCGGGCTAGAGTGTCGTGGCATCATCCTAGCTCACAGCAACCTCAAATTCCTGGGCTCAAGTGATCCTCCTGCCTCAGCCTCCCGAGTAGCTGGGACTACAGGCATGCGCCACCATGCCCGGCTAATTTTTTCTATATATTTTTAGTTGTCCAATTAATTTCTTTCTAATTTTAGTAGAGACAGGGTCTCGCTCTTGCTCAGGCTGGTTTCGAACTCCTGAGCTCAAACAATCCACCTGCCTCGGCCTCCCAGAGAGCTAGGATTACAGGCGTGAGCCACCGCGCCCTGCCTGTAACTTTTATTAACAAATAAATTTATGATCTTTTTCCCAAATCTTCTCTTTCTGCTCAATCTTTATTTTTCTTTCCATCTATTTGCATTTCTTTTATTCTAGTTTTCAACTTTTTGCATAATGTAAAAATGTATCATAGTATGTTAAATCTTCCACAGTAGTTTTCACTGGACCAAAATGATTTATGTAGTTTTATGTTTGGGGATTTCTGATTTTTTTTTTTTCACTTTAAGCTAAACTTTTTATATAATAGTAAGAAACATGAATATATGTAACAATTTTTTATCTTAAGAACCTATAGTTCATCACTTCTTTCCCCCTCTGAATCCTTAGTTGCACATAGGAAATGTTTATGAGGCTGGAAAATTGAACCTCTTAACAGTTATTCAGTTATTAAATGAAGTCTTGAAAGTAATGAAATATGAACGTTGTCAGGCTGACCAACCAAGATTGACAATAGACCTTCGCCACCTTGAAAAAGAGACCAAATTTCAGAGGGAAAGATTATCAGATCTGAAGCATATGAGGTACACTGAAAAGATTTTCTGTTATTTTACTGTGGGAGGAGTAGGGTGGTTTTCTCAGTATAACTCTTGCATAATTAACAACTCTTCAGCTTTGTCAAACAAGTGTGAGAATTTTACTAGTACTCAAAGCTTTATGTAATCAACTCCTGGAAAGACACATGAAGTAGATAGGAAAATTAGTGGAGTAAATAATTTGCCCTGAGTGATAATTATGAAATAATTTGATCTTTTCTCTAGTTTTTCTTTCATTGGGTCCAATAACAAAACTGGGCCTCAGAAAAGTTTTTTTATATAATATGAGCGGAAAGACTGGGAGGTATGAGTTGCTTTTAGGAAGGGACAGAGAGTGGAAGTAAAATTCTGACTAAAGTTTAGAGCCAGGAAAAAAATTGTATTTTAAAGATACTAATACATGTATGATTGCTTTCTGGTTTTACAAGGAGAAAAAGTATTTTAGGTTCTACATCTTTACTTAGGAGCATTTATTTAATTTATATGTGTTGTATTTGTTGAACTTTCAGTTATATTTCCTTCGCCTTCCCTATAGCTATTGTTTTCTTAAATTTTCTTCAATACTTTTTTGTGTATTCATATTTTACATAAAGTTTTTTTTAATGCTATCATAGGTATAAAATAAGAGAAGATCTCACAACTATAAGACATTCTGTTGTTGAAAAGCAAGGAGAATGGCATAAGAAATGGAAAGAATTTCTTGGTCTGTCTCCTTTCAGTCTAATTAAAAAAAATTCAACTCCAGTAAGTAATGTTGACTTTACTTTTGGAGAGCAGTTTAATATATGGCAATCTCTGGATTGATCATGTTACAAATGACTTAGAAATGCTATGTGTATGTATATTTGCCATCTTTGCTCCTGAGCCTAAAGTTTGTATGTTTTGGTTTATGTAAGTTTTCTGAATATATAATAGAATATTCAGTAAGCTTCTGTTGTCCTTTATAGTTAATATTTTTCGATTCAGAGGATTGTATTAAAAAGAAAATGAGACTTTCTTCTTGATATGAGGTACTGTGACATTTGAGACATAGTTGGAAGACAAAGTAGTCCCCTTGTTCCTTATGTATTCTTTGGTTTAAAAGTAGTTACAGGATATATGCTTGGTAACTCTGTCTTTGTTAGGGAAAAATAAAATCATCCATTCATAGATTAACTTAGCATTGTTATTGTGGTAATTAGCAAATGTGTATACTTTAAAATTGTGAATTCTCTGTTTTAAGGCTGTGGATCTTTTACCACCTATGTCTCCCCTCTCCTTTGATCCTGCCTCAGAAGAAGTATATGCAAGGAGTGTTCTTTTCCAGTATCCTGCTTCACTTCAAGGTTTGTTATTTATCTTTTTCTCTTTTAAATCTTCTTCCTGTCATTATTTCCCATTATTATAATAGATTTTTATATTCTTTTTTTCCTCTAGTTATTTTTTTATTGTGGCGAATGCACATAACATAAAATTCACCATTTCAATCATTGCAAAGTGTACAACTCAGAGACATTTAGTAAATTCACACTGTTGTGTAGTCATCACCACTATCTAGTTCCAGAACATTTTCATCATTTCAAAAGGAAACCCCTTCCTCATGTACAAATTTTTGAGTGGAAGCTCACAATTTTTTAACATGAAAGAGTAGTACAATAATTAATCTGAATACCTACCACCTGTTTCAATAATTAACTTGTGCCGTATTTCCTTTATATGTATATGTATGTATTGTGGCTAAACCAAGTAAATTCTAGACATTGTGACACTTTAAGTGTTTCAGCATACATTCCTATTAAAATAAGGACATTTTCCTATGTAACTGTCATGCCATTATCACACCTAAAAAGTTAACAATAATTTTGTAATATCTCATATTCAAATTTTTCAACTGTCATACTATTATCACACCTAAAAAATTCGTATTTCCACACTATCGAATATGTATTTCATATTCAGTTTGCTCAATTGCACAGTACTTATGTATAAGAAAGTTTAATTGGGTTCAGTAAATAGAAGATAGATAATTGGAGGAATGAATGAATAAAAAATGAACAGATTATATAGCCAAACTGGAACCAAGTAATAGGTGTAGGTTATAGTTCAGGTAAGCCAAAGATCATGACAGCATTTAGCACAGAACTTGATCACTGGGTTAGGGGAATTGGTCTGAGAGTCAGGCATAGTTGGGAAGGACACTGGTTGGGAAAAATTATAGGCCAGAGAGCAAGGCCCAGGGTATGTGCAACCAGAAGAGTAGACATAGAAAATGCTGCATGATTTGATGAAGGAGAAGGAGCTTCAGATAGAAGAATGTTCTGGTTCCATGTAGCTTTGGACAGTCATTGATTATGGCAATAGAATTATTTTGATAGCTTTTGGCATTGTATTGGCACTGTGTTCTCACTTCATCTGGGAAAGGGCTCTTGCTAGGCTTAGCTTAAGCCTTTTGAATTCATGGGATTCTCCTCATGTACATTCGGAGATTTCTACACCTGCCTTGAGATGGAGGGCAGATGTGTGTGTTCAGAAAGTCCAGCTGGAAGTTCACGTTTTAGAAGTGTTTGATAGTTCTTTGAGTTCCAGGCAAAGTACGCTAAAGCAAATACTGCATTTTGTGTATACTTCTGTCATAATACTATGGCCTATAATCACTGTCTTTTCTTAGACTGACTCCTTGGAGGGAAAGTCTCCATTTTTTTCTTGTTGCCATTGTTAGTACAGTAGTGGTACATAGTTATTCAATGATAGGTTGATGAATAAATATGTAGGTTGATTGATACTGTAAATGCTTCACTGAAATATGCTAAGTACTGTAACTTTTTGGCCTTGCTGGCATATGTGGTAATTGCATGATCTGTGTACTTAAACATGAAGCTTATAACACTGGAGAATTATGGACTGTCACTTTTTGGGGAAACTTCTTTTAGCATGAGCTATTAGTCTTTTTATAAAAGCGTACTACTAGATACTCTCTTACTTTCCTGCCCATCACTTTACACTCAGCAATTGAATAATTATCTTTTCCTATTAGTGTTTATATTATTCTAATTTTTCTGTTTTCTTCTGTCTAGAAGTTGTTCTAGAATTTTAAAAGATCCTTGCATATTAGAATGTACAAACATAATTAAAGATGAATTTTTCTGTTTTTATTTTTATATTTCAGAATATTAATTTTCTATTTCTTTAGATACACCTAAGCAACATAACCGGGAAAATGGTTGCAGAAGAGACAGTGATACTTTGGGAGCTGTGCATAATCTAGCCGACAGGTAAAACAAATTTTATTTTCATGCTGATTTTTTTCCTATATTAATTTTAGTGCTATCTTGAGCCTGTTTCCAAAGTTCTGTACTCTATAGGGTAGTGCATAATTTCTCCTTTTTTTTTTTATTTGAGACAGAGTCTCACTGTGTTGCCCGGGCTAGAGTGCCATGGTGTCATCCTAGCTCACAGCAACCTCAAACTCCTGGGCTCAAGCAATCCTTCTGCCTCTGCCTCCCGAGTAGCTGGGACTACAGGCATGCACCACCATGCCGGGCTAATTTTTTTTCTATATATTTTTAGTTGTCCGATTAATTTCTTTCTATTTTTAGTAGAGACGGTGTCTCGCTCTTGATCAGGCTGGTTTCGGACTCCTGAGCTCAAACAATCCGCCCGCCTTGGCCTCCCAGAGTGCTAGGATTAGAGGCGTGGGCCACCATGCCCGGCCATAATTTCTCCTCTTAACCAGACAGTATTTTTCTACTGTAGACCCACATTTTCAGAAAAAGATTCAATATGGTACATTTTTTTCCTTCTATTCTTTTTCTAAATATTGGATTTAATGGGGATTATCAGATTTTTGAAGGAAAAAACTGTATATGGAAATTATCTCTTGCAAGATTGGGAATTTTTGCTTTTGTGTGTGTGACCTATTTTTGAAACCATTCTAACTATTGACTAAGTTCAAGAGTTCAGGAGCTTTTGAGATCATGTAGTCTGGTAGTTTTCAGACTATATTCTGCAGTGCCCTCTGGTGTTGAGGATACATCTAACTTAGCCTGTGGCCTGTCCTACCCTTTTCCACTTAAGCCTGAGGAGCTTGCTTTTGTTTTTTGAGACAGAGTCTTGCTCTGTCTCCCAGGCTAGAATGCAGTGGCATCATCATAGTTCACTACAACTTCCGACTCCTGGGCTCAGCCTTCCAAATAGCTGGGACTATAGGCGCACACTATCATGCCCGGCTAATTTTTTCTATTTTTGGTAGAGATGGGGTCTTGCTTTTCCTCAGGTTGGTTTCCAACTCCTGGCCTCAAGGGATCCTCTGGCCTTGGCCTCCCAGGGTGCTAGGATTACGGTGTGAACCACTGCACCCACTTACTTTTTTATCTGTATTATATATTGGGTTTTTTGATAAACCATTTGATAAAGAGTTCCATGCTTTAAAAAAAAGCTAGATGACTTCTGATTTATTCTAACTCCTAAATTTAACATATGAAAAAGCTGAGCCTGCTTTGTTTAACTTCCTTCAGAAGTACTCCTGTTTTCTTTGTTGCCTGTTTTCTTTGTTCCCATTTTTGGATTGATGCCAGATTATATAAACAAAAAATCTCTAAACTAAATATATGTAATCCACTTGGGGAATATATTAGTTCTCTATTGAAATTAAGCATTATTTAAGTAGCAATCAACATAGACTACTGAATATATTCCTTTATTACTGTTGTTATTATTTTTCGATTTTTGACCTAAATGGGTGTCTTTCAGTCCAACTTCCCCAACTATTATAGGTGAAGGACAGGTATGAAAATAAAATACTTAGGAAAATTATAAAAGAAAATTCTAAATTTTAAGTGAATGAAAGCACTCTTCATTCTGTGTGCTCTTAATAGTTGTAATGCTATAACCAGAGTCAAAACTTTTATGTGAAATTGAGCTTTTGGAAGTTGCTTCTGCAATAGTTTTCTAGTTCACAGGAGGTCAGGAGTATATGTGGAAGAATTATATTTTTATTTTTATATCTGGATTTGATGCTCATTTTCTGAGTACCTAAAGAAAAATACTGAAATCTTCTGTGAAGACCTAGTATTTTGCTAAGCCTTGTATATAATCGTATGTAAATTTAGTTCTAATGAAAGCATTGATATAATCTTACATTCTAAAATACAGAAATTTTAAAACATTAACATGATATAAACTGTGGCAGTGCTAGGATTTCATGCCTCAATCTTGGCATGGCAAGTGGATAGACAGTAAGGACTGAGCCAGGGCTGCTTTATAGTTAGTTGTCTTGGATTGTGATGTTAGCAGGGCTTATGGCATGTTGCTAATTCAGAAATGAGAGAGAGGAGGGTGTAGAATATTTCCATTGTTCTCTATTGTAAAGTTTCACAAGAATGATTCAAATGGAAACACCTGTTGTCACCTATAGAGCCCCATCTTCAATTGACATTTACTCATTGATTCCATCAGTCCATCAACAGTTAACACAGATGGATTATACTACCAAGCACTGTTATCTCCTGGAAATAGCCATGGGGAAAGACATAGCCTTTGTCCTCACCATCTTATGGTGACACCTTAGTGTCATTGGTCCATAGATTGCTGGCTCTGTTTTAGCAGGCTTTCTGATAATTTTAATGTAAAGTTTTGTAAAAATTTAAGACAAAAATCCCAGTAGATGATTAATTCTTTGCTTTTGATACCTAGATTATATCCTGCCAATGCTAAATTGAAGCTTGAGCAATTGCAGTGATTTTGAATTATGTTTGGAAGATAGGTGAAGATTCTAAGAATGCATGTTTGAAAAAGTTTAGAAAATTATATTTGCAATTACATAAAATATTTGCAGAGCTATTAATTTTTATTAATTTTGTACTTCTGGCTATGAAGAGATAGCAGAGCACCAACATGCTTGCTGTTGGAAGTGGTCTCTGTGGTAATCCTGGCTTTCATATTACCTAGGGTAGCAAAGCTTTTGGCCTT